AAATCCTACCTCCCTGTCTCCTCTCAAGAAGAAATGAATAGGCTGAATTTTATGTTTGTGATTCCATTAAATTTCTATAGTTTTATTTCTTTGTGTATGTGTCTCTCTTTCTTTGTCTCCCTGTCTCTGTCCCTCTCGTTCTCTGCATGTGAGTGCATTTATACATATTTATGTATGCATGCATGTGTGTATATATACATGTATACACATACACAAAAATACTTACATACACATGTCTTAAATCTGCTTGTTCTGCCATAACAAAATACCATGGACTGGGTGGCTTAGATGACAGAAAGTTATTTTCTCATAGTTCTGGAGTCTAGAAGTTCAAGATCAAGGTTCTGGCAGATTCAGGTTCTAGTGAGGGCTCTCTTCCTGGATTGCAGATGGCCATCTTCTCACTATGTCCTCACACTGCCTTTTCTGCATGGAAACAGAAAGCGAGCTCTCTGGTGTCTCTTCTGGTAAGGACAGTAATCCTACTGAATCAGGGCCTATTGGTATGGAGCTCATTTAACCTTAATTGTGTTCTTAGAGGCCCCATCTCCAAATACAGCTACACTGGGGGTTAGGGCTTCAATATATGAATTCTGGAGAGACACAAATATCAGTGCACAACAATACAAATAAATATAAAATCTTTGTTTATTTCTGCATTTTGTCGAATTGTTGGAGTCTTGCATTTTTGCTCTTAATATTTCGTTTCTATAATCCACTGACATGGCATATAATTGCTCTGCAATATTCTTTATGTAAAAATACCAAAATTTAGTTGTTGTTGGACTTTTTTCCTTTTTTTTTTTACTATTATGAACAATGTTGCTATGGATCTTTTTATTTATGTCTTCAGTTGTACATGTGCAAAACTTCTCTAGAATATAAACCTGAGAGTGGAATTGCATGACCCAAGGCAATGAACATTTTCAACTGCAAAATATAATGCCATATTGTTTCTCTATTAGAAATGAATAAGACTTCCAACTAATACACATTATTGTCAAAAAATGCAGCTTCTAACTTGAATTTTCCAATCTATTAATATAACATGGAGGCTTATTGAGGTTTTATTTGTCTTTCCCTGATTATTACCAGTTGACCAGTAATAATTTTTATATGATTATTAGGTCATTTGAGTTTCTTTTGTCTGAAATACCTAGTAATATCATTTTGCCTATTTTTCAATCTTGTTGTGTATGCATATTGAAGTGTATTTTTGTTATTAAATTGTAAGCTATTGCGGGGGCAGGTTTTGAATAGGCTTTGGAAAGATGGTTGGGGCTATAACAGCAGAGGCTAAACGTGAAGATCTTCTAGGAAATGGTATCTGTTACCTGGGGAAGTAGTAATGTCATTTCTTAATTCAAAGAGATACATTTTCTCACGTTGTTTAATCAAATAATAAAAGGATGATTAGGCACATGTGTGGTGGTGGTTTGTAATTAGTATTTGGGTGGTGAATATGATGTAATCTATGCAGAAATAGAAGTATACGATGTACACCTGAAATTTATGCAATGTTATAAACCAATGTTGCCGCAATAAAAAAAATTAGAAAATAAAAAAGAAATCCTGCAGTATCACAGATTTTATTTTTATCTCCATGCATGTAGGAAAAGATGGAGGTGACAATGATGTTCTTCTGGTTTGAGAAGGAAGTCTTGTTGAATCTTGACCTTTAGGAACACAGGCAGGTCAATTGTAGTGTTATAATGAGGGCAACAGATTATCAACCATGATCCATAGGACCTAGAATCCATTTCTGAAATCTAAATACCTTACAAGACTCATAATTCAAACAGCAGTTCCCAGTATTGATTGATTTAACACTAACAAATTAATAGCACATGAATATCCACACATTTTCATCTCCAATAATAACACATAATATTCATTTTCTACCTGGCTTTAAAGAAATGGAGCTGGAGATGTGTGCAATAAATTTGGAATCAATTTTGTAAGGGGTTTAGTGTAAACATCTCTCTAATGGTTAATCTATGATATTGTGATAAACTTGCACCAAGAGAATGCTGACTCCACAGCCCTTGGGCAGGAGAACAAGATTTATAGAAACCGTAGTCCATTTCCCAGGGTCCATTTATGGTGATGGGATATAAAGTCCTTCAATCTTTTATTCAGAGAGTGAAAGTATTAGAGTGTTTCTGGTGTTCTTGAAATAGCAAGTGATTCAGAAGCAAGAGACTTTTGTTAACACACTCAAGCTCCAGTTTGGTTTGTTATGGACTCTGAGTCACATTTTCTCCAAGGTCAACAGAGAAGGCAAAAAGCTCTGGGAATCGCCAAGTTCCTAGTAGCTACTTTATGGTTATTATTAACATTCCTCCAAGTGTGAACTCTCCTGTTGCCCGCTGTCAACAAACAGTTCTTCCCTCAAGGGAACCAAAGGCAATGAAGCAATTATTTCCTGTTTGTCTCTAATTTGGAGCTTGGGGATAGAGAGCCCCCCCACCCATCCTCTCATGATTTGTAAAGTTAGAACCCATGCCCATCACTCAGGAGTCGTAAACAAGTGCATGTCCGTATATCTATCTTATTTGGTTTTGAACTGATAGTTCTTCTTCCTCTTGCAATGCGTGTTTGAGACCCTTAGAGACTCCACCTGCCTCATTGTATCCTGTGTCTTCTAGAGAGAAATGGAAGAGCTTTTCCAGGCCTTGTAGCTGAAGGTATATGTGCTCATCAACTAAGAGGCAATGTCAGAGCAGGAGTAGAATTCATATTCAGTAGTGTCATTGCATGTGTTTATGTGTTTATGTCTGTGTGTGTGTGTGTGTGTGTGTGTGTGTGTCCAGTTTGTGCTACTGATCCATAACACAGCTCTACCAATCCTCACACCAGGGTATAGCAGACTGCTCCATGTAGAATAACTTACCTCAAACTGATCCTCTGCCTAATTTTTGAGAGAATAGGGAAAAACATATCTCCTCTTGCTTGTTTCTTACCTTCCATTAAGTCTTGTTGGTTTTCCTCCAAATTTTATCCCAAACTGTAACTATATTCATCTCTGCTTCCATGATCCAGATGTAAGCAGGTATTATTTTGCACCTGAACTACTGCAATGGCCTCCAGTTAAATTTCTGCTGACACTCTTGCCTTGTTATAATCTGTTCTTTTCCCAGTAGAAAACAGAAAAAAAAAATTCCTTCACTCCTTTCCTAAAACCTTTGCATGGGTGTTCTATTGGTCTGAGAATAGAATCAAAACTTTTCACTACAGCAGAAAAAATCTTACATAATCTGGCTCCTAGATAATTCACCAACCCCATAACTTTCCCATTCTGACTATGCTCCTGAATTTTCTCCTCAACACCACAGTCCTGTCATCTGCAAACAAACAGAATGCCCACTTTTATAATCTTTACACGACAGGCTCTTATTATGCCGGACTCATTGTAAAGAATGAATAGGAACAGACTTCCTCACTACCTTGGCCTCTTGTAATTTGACAGTGTCTATCACAATTGTGAATGTATATATCCTCCAATTCAATTTCTAGATATATATATATGCTGCTGTGAAAGATTGCCTATGAACAATATTATTAATGAACTATTACTTGAAATAGAAGGATATCAGAAACAACCTAAATGTCTGTAAATAGCTAGTTAGTACTTTCATTGTGATAACCTGATTATTATTAACATGGTAATGACTAGCAACACTGATTGCGTAATTCTTCTCAGGTAACAATATTAAATTAACAGGATTTTTAACGGAGTGGACTGAAGAAGGTAGGAATTGTAAAGATACTTTCAGTAAAATTGGGAGAATTGGTACATAATATATAAACTTCAGTTAACTCCCAAGAAGAATGATGATTCCTGCAGTGAGATAGTTTCTCAGCTATCAAAGAGAAAGACCTTCAGACGAATGTCTTTACAGAGTTTGTGGATTCTATCTTTTAGTAGATAAACGATCATGTTCTCTTTCCCTATCATTTTGTGAGTGTCCCCATGGCAAGTCTAAGATTAAATGACCTGAAGAAGAAAGAGAGAGAAATGATAGTATTAGCAAAGTATAAGAAGTGTTAGAATATGACAAGAAAAATACCAATTACGAATCACTGGCGTAAACCCTAGGTTAGGAACTGTGAAAAAGGAAATGTTATTTGGCAACATCTGGACAGACATTTACAAAGAGGTTATTCTTTGACAGATCCAGGATATGACTGGAAAAGCAAAAGTATTTCCTGGTGTTCTGAGAACTTGAATAAGAATGATCTGTTTAGAACTGAGGGAATAAGGTGGGAATCTGGAAGAGAAGCAGACTTTTTCTCCACATTCCATGAAAATTCCTTTAGAAAGAGTGGTAGTAGACTGAAAATGTTGAGGAGTGGGAAGGAATTTTCCAAAAGGAAGGACTGAATGCTATGTTACAAGGTATGTCACTAGATCTTTTATGTTACTGACACAGATTCTTGTCCTTAACACTGTTGCCTTAATCAGTTACATATGTTTCCACCAAGGCTGCAATTTCTGATTTCTGGGAGATCCAAAGCAGCCCACTGGGTTGTCTTACCTTGATCAAATCCATTGAAATAAAGCATTAGCTAAAACTTTGTGAGAGGCATGAGGACGATTAAGAAAGGCCAGCAGACCAACTGCGGAGCCTCTATTAGAGTTTCTAATAACTGGTTACTGAACTAGCCTTGCACCATAATTTCCTAATCTCAGATTTCTGCAATGAACACCTGGACTCCTCGAGTTTGAACCTGAGCTGATCTCGTCACCATTCTGACATTTCATGGTTTCTCCAAAAGAGATTGTTTTGGTTCCTAGGTGGGTGCATAATAACCTGATGTCAGGTCAGGTTTTTAAGCAGCTTTTAGCCTGTAAATGTGGCAAAAAGAATGAAATATTCAGGTTAAAATTCGTTTACTGACTAGTCAAAAACCAGGTTTCCATTATGTGATAGTCATAATGATTTCTCCTACTTTCACATTTCTAACTCGTTTTTTGATCTCCAGCAAAAGGGAAAAACATGAGGAGGGATAACCAGAGCAGTGTGTCTGAATTCCTCCTCCTGGGGCTCCCCATCTGGACAGAGAAGCAAGGCATATACTACACTCTTTTTCTGGTCATGTACCTGACCACAGTGCTGGGGAACCTGCTCATCATCCTGCTCATCAGGCTGGACTCTCACCTCCACACTCCCATGTACTTCTTCCTCAGCCACTTGGCCTTCACTGATGTTTCTTTCTCATCAGTCACAGCTCCAAAGATGCTCATGAATATGCAGACACAGAGTCAATCCATCTCATATGCTGGGTGCATTTCCCAGATGTATTTCTTCTTATTTTTTGGGCTTCTTGACAGCTTCCTTCTCACATCAATGGCCTATGACAGGTATGTGGCCATCTGTCACCCCCTCCGCTACACCACCATCATGAGTCAGAACCTGTGTTTCCTGCTAGTGACTGTGTCCTGGGTCCTATCCTGCACCAGCGCCCTTTCGCACACCCTCCTCCTGGCCCGTCTCTCTTTCCGTGGAGACAACACTCTTCCCCACTTCTTCTGTGACCTCTCTGCCTTACTAAAGCTGTCCAGCTCAGATACCACAGTCAATGAACTGGTTATCCTCATCGTAGGAACAGTGGTCATGATCCTGCCATTCATATGCATCCTGGTCTCTTATGGCCACATCGGGGCCACCATCCTTAGAGTCCCCTCCACCAAGGGAGTCTGCAAAGCCTTGTCCACATGTGGTTCTCACCTCTCTGTGGTGTCTCTGTACTATGGAGCAATTATTGGACTGTACTTTTTCCCCTCATCCAATAATTCCAATGAGAAGGATGTCATTGTGGCTCTATTGTACACTCTGGTCACTCCCATGCTAAATCCCTTTATCTACAGTCTGAGGAATCGAGATATGAAAGGAGCTCTGGGAAATATACTCACTAGAGGAAAATTTTCATCACGATGAACATTGTTTCTCCTCTCTGTTTTATCTTGCACTTAATTTTCTTCTCTGTTTAGTTTTTATTTATTTTAGAGAGTCATGGGAAATGTTTATTAAAAACATACCTACACAACTATCCTTTCCTAAATGCTTTTTTTTTTTTCTTTTTCACATGGTATCCATTGCGCTACAAGCATTTAAAAATTTTATGCAGTTAGAGCTTTCAGTCTTTTCATTTTATTTTTTTTATGTTTACAAATTTTATATAGCGAAGCTTTTCCTTTCTCAAAATAACAAAAATATCCTCCTGGCGGTTTCATGGTTTTAATTTTGTGTTTAGTTTTGTAATACACTTGAAATTTATTTTTATGAATGATGTTAATTAGATATTGAATTTTATTTTTGCTTCTAATTTCTTATGAATTGTCCAAATTGTGTTTCAGGTATGTTTATAGAGTTATAGTAACATGGTATGTCACATTTTTTCCCTTTATATTGGGTGGACCTGGCCACAAATAGAAATGAGATGAATTTCTGTACAAGGTCAGGAAAATCATCCAGACATGACTGGTACTGTCCCCAGCTCAAACTTGACTGTAGCCCTCTGTGTCCTTGGATGGCCCATTGAATGTGAAGCATGGTAGTGAGAGTAGAGATTTTAAAGTGGCTTTCCAAGGGATGATGTTATTATGGCTGATCAGTCCAATCTCATAAGGGGTTTCCACCTTTCACAGCATGGGACTAAGAATGTCTAGGCAGAATATCCGGAAATCTAGGCCACCTGAATTGAACTCAGTGTAGTTTAATCCAAATGTACCCCAAATTAAAAAAAAAAAAAAAAAAAAAACTTCCCTGCCATAAGTATATATATGTACTGTCCTACGTTTCCATCTGCAATGGTAAAGTTTTGTCTTCAGTCCTTGAGAAATTAAGTCTGCTTGAAGCAAATGTAGCTAACTTCAAAGCTATAAGCTGATACCTGTGACAAATCATTATTTCATTTAATCCTAGTAATTGGTATAAAGGAGGAAATTCATAGTAAGTGAGGCTTACTAAATTGCCCAGTCCCAATAAACTAGCAATATTTAGTGGAGATGATACTCAAAATACTGTATGTGTGTGGTCAAATCCTGAGTCCTTGTAATCATTTGAATATTTTTCAAAATTGAGTAATATTTTTACATATTTTACTACATATTTTGTATAACTTTAAAAGCAAACAAATGAGTACATATAACATACATACAGTTTAAATATATATGTACATATATGCTATGTTGTATGTGTGTATATATATATGTGTATGTGTTTGTATATATGTGATATCTAATCCCACTTTAGAGAATAATACTAAAAGAAATACTCATTTAACAATCTTCAGGCTTACCCAGTAGAAAACTAACAATATTGTTAAGTCCCTTGTGTTTCCTCCTCAATTGTATCCTCCTCTTCTCTGAAAAATACTCAATGTTTTTAATATTTTCAATATTTCTTTACTTTTCTTTAACGTTTTAACACTTCTATATTGATCCTTCAATTTTGCCTGATCTAGAACTTCAAATAAGTGGAATAGTACTATATTTATTCTTCTAGGCTTTGCTTTTGTTGTCTAATATTATCCTTGTGAAATTCATCCATGTTGTATAACATTCCACTGTGAGGCTACAGCACACGATCTGTTCTATTTTCTATGGCTATTGATTTGCTTTCAGCATTTTGCTATTACAAACAACGCTGCTGCAAACATTCTTGCACACCTTCTAGTGCATATATGCAAGAGATTCTGTAAATTCTATACCCAGAAGAAGAATTACTGGATTGTAGGCATGTGTATGTTCAACTTAACTATCACTGCTAAGCTCGTCTTTAAAATACTCATACCAACAAGCCATTCTGAAAAGGCTGCCTACTGTATGATTCTAAAGGTATGACATTCTGGAGAAGATAAACTGTAAAGGTAGCAAAACTATCAGTGGCTTGAAGGGGAGAAGGATAAATAGGTAAGGCAAAGGGGATTTTCAGCAAATGGTATTGAAACTATTCTGTATGATGCTGTAATAGTGGATACATATCTTTATGTATTTGACAAAAACCAAAAAAACTGTACAACATAAAGAATGAACTCTAATGTCACCTAAGGGCTTTAGTTAATAATATATCAATGTTATTTTAATCATAACAAATGTACCGCACAGATGCAAAATATTAATAATAGGCAAACTGGGTAGGTGTGTGGGAGAAGTATATGGACAGCTTCTGCTGAATTTTTCTATAAATCTAAAACTTCTCTAAGAAATAAAGTCTATTAATTTTTAACAGTTATACTAATCCAAATCTCCCCCACCTGAGTATGAGAGTTCTCACTACTTTACTTCTTCAACAACACTTGATAGTGACAGATTTCTTAATTTTTGTTTGTGTATGTTCAAATAGAAAATTATATCTCATTGTGGTTTTACTTTCTATTTCCCTGATTCTTCATGAAGTAGAGCATCTTAGCCTATGCTTATTGGATATTTGTGGCGGAGATGGCTGCCTGTCCATCAGAATTTCATGACCCCCTTCCCACATGTGAAGTTGTCACTGGGAGGCAGCTGCCACATTTCCTAATAACCTAGGTGTAGGTACATGGCTCGTTCTCCACAGTGGGAGAGAATGCATCTTATTTCCTGGTTAGAATTTTCAAGAAGAGTGTGTGTCTTTTCTTCTATTTTCTGGAAGCACATCACCTGCTGCTCTGAGAGACAATTGAACCCGGTCCCTGAATTACCCCATAGTGAAATGCCATCAACCCACTAGAAGACCCACACTTGACCATTAGAGCAGCCATCACTATCCTTAGTGTTCATCGCTCTGGTTATTGATTCAAAATTTTCTTCTGAGACATACATGATTATTTCTTTTCCCTGCATTTTTATTGGGTTGTTTCTTTTTATTTATTGTATTGTAAGACAGATTTCATATAATCTGGAAATAAATCTTTTTGTCTGTTGTACACATTGCAAATGCTTTCCATTATTGAAAGCTCATTACTTTTGTCTTTTTACTATCTACTAATGTCTTAATTTTAATGTGATTAAAGTTATTAATGCATTATATTATGATTTCTGTTCTTGACTTTAACATCCTTTCTTGATAAAGTCACCTTGAAAATGGCAACAATTCTGTTTTATAGACAACAAAGAAGGGATGTGACATCAGGAAAAGTGCAAAGGCTGAGGAAGTGTGTATTCAGATTTCTTGTCAGAGGGAGCATCTTGAGTTTGTATAACTAGTAGGAAAACCCCAGTGGAATCCCCTCTAGCACAATTTGCTACAAGTAACTCAGCATTAGATGGGTCCACCCTGTACTCTTGCTCAAAGGATAGAGTTTTTTATCAAAGTAACCTACAAAACTGCTACTGTACTATAGTGTCAGTGTCAGAGTAAATGTCCTTTACTCAGAGATATTAATATCAATTAATCACACACACACACACTTTATGACTAACAGCTCATATGCTCAAGGCAGTGTCCAGGGTCTGGGGGAAGTTTGTGACCTTGGAAAATAGACGCCAATTGAGTCTCTGGAGTGAAACGCATGCCCCTGACCTAATTAACCTGTGTGATAAGAAGCTGAGCTAGATGTCATCAGAATAAAATAATAGAATATCAGTAGTATACACTTCGACAACAACTCAACAGGATCCAGGTATTATAGCACTTTGAAGATTTCCATCCCCCGATAGAGTTTTGTACTGGTGTTGGATGATAAATCATGTGCTTTTCAGTATGTTTTAAACCAAATATATCTCAATTTTTTAAAAGGAACAAAGAGGTCATGTCAGCAACATGCTGAAGTGAGCTGTTCCCTTTGTCTCTCCCTCTTTTGAACTACAACTAAATGGACTTTCACCAACAAATTTAGGACACCCACACATCACAACAGGACATCTGAGAGACACACGCAGCTATATATCTGAGGGTGGATTGACTGGCCCTCCAGGAAGTGGTGGAAATAGGTGAGCACTCCCTACCCTCCCCTGGCAGCACTGTGCACACACAGGATCACTTTCCTGCCTGGCACAAGTGCCCCAAAAGTGGGAACGTGCCCCAGGGCAACTGCAGGAAGAGACAGTGGCCCTTAGCCTGCTAGTGATCGCTTTCCCGGTCAGGAGGGAGCCCATCACACCCCTGCAGCCTCAAGGAGTGTCCCTGGCTTGGTACCCCTGAGAAACCCTGCTCACCAAGTACAGCAGCCTGGTGGGACCACAAGCATAGACTGTGGCAGATCTACCTGCTGCACTGGGGCAAGCACACTCAAGGCCCTCATGAGCACCCATATTACCACTGAGCCCTGAAAGAGGGGGTGCACCATGGGGCAACTGTAGGAATAAGCAGCAGTGACCCTTAACCCAATCATGATTTCTTTCCTGGTGGCGGGGGGAGGGTAGCCCAATGTGCCCCTGCAGCCCTAAGGAGTGGCCCTGATTAGATCCCCAGGAAAAGCCCCACTCACCAAGCACAGCAGCCTGGGGAAACTGCAAGCAGAGACTGCTGCAGATCTACACACCAAAACCACACTCCAGGCCCACACAAGCACCTGCAGTACCACTGAGCCCTGAAAGAGAGAGTGCACCCTGGGGCGACTGTAGGAAGAAGCAGCAGCAACCCTTATCCCGCTCCTGATCCATTTCTCAGTGAGAGAGGAAGCCTACCTTGCCCCTGAAGAACCAAGGAGTGGCCCTGGCTTAGTTCAGGAGGAAGCCCGGCCCACCAAGCACAGTCCTTACAAGCACCTGAAGGCTCTCCAGGCTGATGCAAATGCATGTAGTACCCCCACAACTTCCAGCGGACAGGGTGGGATCAAAAACTCTGCTCTTGCTTCCCTCTAGCTGTAGCAGGTGGAATCTGCAACCTAATACTACCACAAATGCCTCGATAAAAGATTAGGTCATCAAACACCATGAGAAACTGCAGCAACAATTCAGACCAGAAGAAAAATGGCAATTCTCCAGAAACCAACCCTGAAGGCACAGAAACTT